AAAAAGTTTTCTTTGGACAATCACTAGAAAATTTCTACTTTCGCATCTATAGTAATTTATATATAGAACCGCGTCACATTTCACTATGATCATTCTTCAGTTGACTGGAAAATCGTCAATTAAGTGAACAACTACACATTCACCCCGTATATATTTGCAAAAGTCAATCACTGCATTAGGTGATCTTGTTACTTGGTTGTATTTTACTAAGAAGGCTACAACCCTGTAACATTACTAACACTCAATTATGTGAACTATAAACTAAACTTACAAATCACCCAATTTTTTTATCTAACTATTAGTGTAATAATATTAACCTATATACAACTATACAAGGATAAATTTTTAACTCTTATATAAACTATAAGAAAATATACAAACTTTACTCAAATTGCAACAAAAACAACTATCTAACTATTATTACAACTATTATAAAATATATATAATTAATTATAGATATCATACTGCATAAAATTTATATAATAGAAACAGCAAAACAACATAACTTCTAGATCTAACCACAATAGGACAACTATATATACAACAACTTTTTAAAATATAACACAATACAGAATACTATATACTTACAGTTGTTTTTGTGACTTATCTGATTAACATCATAATGACAAAACTTGCCTACCTTTTGAAAAAGCAATTAGAAAAATATTTTTATAAACAATTATATGAATTAAATATAATACCCCAACTAATATTATCAAATCTAAATGAATTTTAGCCACTTTAGTAGTTTTAGATGCAAATAAATCAAAATTTCTAGTTTAGATAGTTTTTGGTAGTCTGAGTCTTATTCTTGTAAAAATTTTTGTAAATTGGCTCTAGCCAGAGGAACACATAGTAGATTCTCAATACAAAATATTAATAAAAATAAAGGCAAAACCTCATCTTAAAAAAAAAAAAAAAAAGATAAATTTTTATATAACTGAAATTAAAAAAAAAACTTTATAAAATAAAATCTTAAAAACTTTAAATTTTAACAATAATTAAAGAAATTTTACTTTCGGTTAAATATACTGTAGTTGTTTTCAAAAATATATATATACTGTATATACTGTATATATTAAAGTTTAATATAATAAAGCAAAAATAATAAAATTTACCAACAAACGTTAATTATTAATTAATTATATATAAAACTATAGATTTTTCATAATCAATATCTATTTTTGGTAAAATCACTTGCTGTAATAAATCAACTTAACCTGTTTTCAACTTCCTGCAGATATTAATGTTTGTTTAAGCTTGGTGTAGACAATGGATTTTATATATGCCCGTAACGCTTATTTGTAAAAAATTTTGTTCACATGGGTATAAATTATAATAAAAAAATATAATTAATAAAAGTACGTACGTACGTACGTACGTAGATAGAATGATTGTTATACAATAACGATAATTATAGTGTAAAAGATGATTGTTTTACATCTAAAGGATTAACATGTTCACATGAACGTCTATGCTGTAAACAGGTTTGTCGACGCTACTAATTATCGTATCGGTATGACAGTACTTACGTACGTACGTACGTACGTACGTAAGTACACGTCTTGTGGCAGTAGGTCGCGCCGCTAACGAACCATCTAAATCTGAGTTGAAACTTGACCAATCAAGCCTGTACAACTGTTTCAAAATATATATATCGATATAGAGATATCAGAAGGCACAAGAAAAAAAAAGTCTCGCAAATAACACGTGTATGTAAACTCTTGGTTCGATTATTATGTATTAGATTAATGTTCATCAAATGCTACAACTGCAGTGTAACTTAATTTGTTTAACTCACTGCTCAAAGATTCTATATTTTTCTTTCTAACGCGAAATCTTTGTTTTCAACTATCAACGTCAGAGAAAATGAGTAGTAAGAAAAAACTAAAGAAATCTTCAAAGGTGCCTCAAGACAAAATATCTTTCGGTGATCAATCTCCTGGTCCGATAAATGGTCTTCCAAATAAAAAGCAAAGTGATGCTGCCCATTTGAACGAACCGAAATTTCAAGAATCTTCTTTTAATGAAAATTCACCATACGACGAAAAAGAGACACAAAATACCGATCCAAAAAATGCTAAAAAAGTGAGTTAAAAAAAAAAAGCATTTACGGCTTGAAGTGTAGCTTAAGCTCTATATTCAGTCTTTGTTAAGAACATTGTAGTTTTTTCGTTTGGTCGTTATCAATTTGAAGTACAAGAATAACAATAATTCTTTTTTATTAATAGACAAAAAATAAAAAGGAAAAAAAGGTATTTTATTATATTTAAAATCTAAAGCTGAATTTAAAGGTTGTACATTTTATTTATTTAAACAACTACATTGTAGCGTAAGAAACCAAAGAAAACTGGATTTTTCGGCGGACTATTCACGTTTAGGTCGTTTCTCATCCTTTACATACTTGGAGTGTTTTTCGTTTGTCATGGAAAATCCCGCAAACAGTGTTCATATCCAGTCGAGCTTTTTTGCTACAATGGTGTCTCCCAATATATTCTTACACACGATTGGTTCCAGAAATATATTGAACCTGGAGTTCTCGAGATTAAAAGTTATTCTGCAGATTATGGAAATCAAGCCTTTAGCACTTATGAGATTCATGCAAAACCTCATCTAAACCCTTACGTTGAATCCGCTCAACCTTACATACAAAAAGCTAAGGAATTATCTATCGAATTTATATATAATCCTGCTATCCAAGGAGCGATAAAAGTTCAGGAATTTTACAATCAGAACGCGAAAGATAGTGTGGATGCATTCTACGGGAAGGCCAGGAAAACAGTTACTCCATATCTAAATAAAGCTCAGAAACAAATCAATCATGCTTATGAAAAACTGATTATCTATAATAAAAAGCATATTCAACCTTGGTTCTATAATAAGGTTATACCTTTTGTGGTGGAATCAAAAAAGAGTGTAATTGTTCAATACAACGAGAAAGTGGCTCCCGTTGTAGATCAGTTAGTAAAAACTGCACACGACAATTATAATAAACACGTTGTTCCTTTTTATAATACTAATATCAAACCTCATGTCGAGTATTGTTTTGAGGTCATCGTGGAGCTTGTACAAGGCAAAGACGAAAGCAAAAAGAAAACAGACCTTAAGGCTAAAAAAGAAGCTGAACGCAAGGCTAGAGAACAAAAAGCTAAAGAGGAAGCTGAGCGTAAAGCTAAGGAGGAGGCTAAACGAAAAGCTAAAGAGGAAGCTGAACGCAAAGCTAAAGAGGAAGCTGAACGTAAAGCCAAAAAGGAAGCCGAACGCAAAGCTAAAGAGGAGGCTGAACGCAAAGCTAAAGAGGAGGCTGAACGCAAAGCTAAAGAGGAGGCTGAACGCAAAGCTAAAGAGGAAGCTGAACGAAAGGCCAAAGAGGAAGCTGAACGTAAGGCCAAAGAGGAAGCTGAACGTAAGGTTAGAGAGGAAGCTGAACGTAAGGCCAAAGAAGAGGCTGAGCGTAAGGCCAAAGAAGAGGCTGAACGTAAGGCTAAGGAAGAAGCAGAAAAGGCTGCAATAGCCGCCGCTATTAAGGCTGTTCGTGATACTGCTGCTATAGGCATATCTCGTGCCAGAGAAAACATTAGTATAGCTCTTAAGGACTATGAGCTTAAAGCAAAATCTGCAGTAAAGAAAACATCAGACGACACTGAAGCTAAAATAATATCTCTTAACAAATTAGGCACTGATTATCCTTCCAAGCTTACAAAATTTGTTGACGAACTTGCAAAGGATACTGAGAAAAATATTACGGTCAAGATTGATAAAATTTCAGAGTATGCTAAAGAAACTATAGATACAGTTAAAACAAATATCAAAAAAGCTGATGAATCGTTTGAAGCTTTGAATGAAAAAGTTAATGAGCTGGAAAAAGATTTTGTTTTAGTTATAAACAGTAATATGAATGGCATCAAGACAAACGCACATAGCAAAGCAGGAAAAATAACTATTGATCAGAAAATTTATGATGAAGTTGATAGGGATATTAATACCGCTTCCCAGAGCATGAATGCCGAGTTTAGCAGTTCAACATTAAGAGTAAAGGAGGAGATCAAAGGAGTCGAAACAAAAGTAACATCTTTGAAATCCACGGCAAGGAGTGTTGTTCAGGACATTGTAAATTCAACAAAAATAGCGACACAAATCTTAAAGCAACGTGACACTCCAGTAATATCTCAAAATGAGTCAAGCTCTTCAAAAGGATCAGACAAAGTCCCACAATTTGTTGTTCAAACATCAAATGACCCTGTGTTGGATAAATTGAAGTCACAATATCGTTTACGTGATCCAGTTTTACAAAAATTGAAAGATGAGTATCAAAAAACCAAAAAAAATAAGCAATCAGGAAAGATTGCAAAAGACGGGTCTTATTAGGAAATTATTAAATCTTTCCGAGAGGATAAATCATGTGAGTTGAATAATTTTTATTTGTTCTAAAGATATGATATCATATTTATGCTGATTTTTAACTTATTATTTAGGTTAAAAACATTCTATGTTAAATATATTCTTTTTTTCGGAGCATTTGCTTAGATATACAAAAATGCGATTTTCAAGATTACAATTTCTTACTACAATTATTGAATTAAAATAAATAAATAAATAAATCAAATTATGGTACTGTAAATCATGTATGATCAATATATTAATAATGGAGATATAAATGTTAAGGAAATGAGAATTTCCTATTCATTATATTACTGAAAAAATAAGTTGGTTTTTCATGATTCGCTGTCCCTTATAATTTATTTCACTTCTAATTAATACTTTTATTCCGAATTTTTGGGGTTGGTTTTTTTTTTTTTTTTGTCAATTTTACGTAAAATTTTTCAACATTTTTTTTTAATAAAGACCATCATTGTCAAATTTCATGGGTAAAATTATATATTAAAAAGAATTTTAAATTTTTTTCGACATCGCACCCTATAAGATCAGGTGTAGCGTGAAATCAAAATATTAAATTATAACTCGTTAGTTTAGGATCAAGATTAAGGTTATATTAGGGCTAGGTAGGGTGATAATAAAAGATTCTAGTTCAAAATTTGGTGAAGAATCTTTTTTGGAACGCGAGACGGTTTTCTAGAGTTAGAACCGATTTTTTGAAAAAAATGTAATCGCTTCAATTTCACGTTAACTTGATCCTGCACTTTGATTGGCTGACCAGGGGTAGCGATAAAAATTATTTCACTTCATTTCTTTACATTTTAATTTCTTATACATTTTATTGGACAAGATTAACGTGGCTTCTTCGAACAATAATATTTGTACGTTGCAAAAGTACAATAAACAATACCAATAAAATAAGGTGAAACCCGCTACGTACGTTAGGGTGAAATCCGCGTTTAGGTAATTCACAGCGCGGGTTTCACCCTGTCGTAATAAAATTACACAATCTAATGTAGTTAGCTTAATTAGGGATGTTATTATAGATGCAGACTTTATTTACATCACTAGTTACGGCTCAATTGCATTTTATTTTAATAACCCAATTTTTTATATAGGGCGTAACTAGGATGTTATTGGCTTGAATGGCTTGGCTTAGTTCAAAAAAACTATAGCTAAAGCTACATATAGCAGTAGTATAAGCCATAGCTTTAATCATAGTTTAATCATAGCTGATCCATGCTTAGCTAAAGCTTAAGATAGTTAAGATAGCTAAGCTATACGTAATGGCAACGATAAAGCAAAATAATAATATATATATACTGTAATAATAAGTTTAATATTTATAATTTATATCGGGGGATGTTGATAATCAGGGTGCTATATCTCAAAAAATTGACTAAGAAAAATTCATGTAATCTAAAATTTTTAAACTGCACCCTACCCCTAAATTTTAGTCAAAAAAACCATTTTTTATTATGAAGTAGGGGTGGATATTAATATCCCCGGTATAAAGATTTTGAACGAATTTTACATTTATAAATTCTAACGCATTAATTATTGTATTTTTTACAGTATAAATTGTATTTTCTTTTTTATATATTACTTTAGCGTTTAACGTTAGCGAAAAACTGATTGAAGTGGAGTAGGTACAGTACGTAGTGATAAATACTATCGTATATTATCAATTAAGAGCAACCCAGAATAAACGCAGCCTCTTT